CTTCTGAAGATGTTGCATGTTTATACAGCAAGAAAAGTTTGAATAAGCTGACGGAGACTGAGGTACCTACTTTATTTGTCTCAGCCTTCACTGGAAGAGCAGGCTTCAGCAATCCCAGGTCCCTGACATCAATGGGATAGTCCTTGGCATGGTAGGCATACCCTTAGTGGAGGACGGTCAGGTTAGGGAACTTTCAAACAAACTGGACATACACAAATCCGTGGGCCTGGTGAGATGCACTGGTGAGTGCTGAGGGAGCTGGCCGATGGCATTGCCGGGCCACCCTCCATCATCCTTGAAAGGTCATGGTGGTCAGGAGAGGTTCCCGATGACTGGAAGGAAGAAGGTGCCACTCCTGTCTTCCAGAAGGGCAAGGAAGAGTGTGGAGTACTCCAGGCTGGTGGGTCTCACCTTGGTCCCTGTGAAGGTGATGGAGCAACTAACCCTGGAAACGGTTTGCAAACGCATGAAGGAGAAGATGGTGATTGGGAGTAGCCAGCCTGGGTCTGTGAAGGGGAGATCCTGCCTAACCAAGCTGACAGCCTTCCGCAGTGAGGTGACTGGCTTGTTGGATGAGGGCAGAGCAGCGGATGTTGTTTATCTTGACTTGAGGCAAGGTTTTTATGTTGTTTCATACAACATCCTTGGAGACAAACTGGTGAAGGTGAAAGGCAGACAACTTTAAATTTTTCCTTTCATTAGAATAGACTCTGTTTGCTGTTACCTTAAAACCTGTCTTCAGCTTGATGCCAGACAGGCTGAAACTTAATTCCTTCCGATCCTCAAGAAGTAGCAAACCTTAAAAAGGAGTACAATGTGATTGAAGAGCCAGGCATAACAGTACCAGCTCAGAAGACTGGAGAACTGGATGAACTCCACTACACGAAGGGCTGGTCTGGAGGTTGGAAATGTGAAGTACTAGAAAAGGGTAATTTTCCATTGGGATGTGTTAATAGAGCTTCTAAGGCATGGACAAGAGCAGTGGGAAATAAGGTACAGGACTTGGGTCTATTCCAAATTGTGACAACATCATAACCTTTGGAGAGCCAGGAACATTTGCAACTTAAGAAACGATCAAGAGGAGTCTGAAATGAATCTCCTGTTTGGTTTGTAAATCAGGCTTGCTTGTTTGTTTGTTTTTTCCTTGCTTCCTATAGGACTAATGCCTAGATACAGGCAGTCACGAAGTTACTCTTCTCTGGGGAATTTGCTTTGGCTGGCATGGAGCAGTGCTTAATTTATTAATAACTCTGGTGTTTGGATTTAGCTGTGAATGACAGATGGGCACTATGGTGATGGGTACAGGGATAGATCTGATAGTGCTGTCTGTGAAGTGTTAGGAGCAAGCTGAATAGGAAAGGTGGCAGCACATGGTAGACTGTGGGTGTGTCTGTGCCTTCTGCCAGTCAGGATATCAAATGCCATAGTAATTCAGGTGTTTATTTGTTAACTAATAATAAAAAAATGATTGTTCACTCAGTTACCAGCAACAGAAATCCCAGCCTGGCGGTAGGACTGTGGTCCATGTCGGGAGTAAGGTGTGCTTCCAAGTGTGTAATTCCACGCTCTTTCCTCCGCTGAAAGTCCTGTAAATCTGCCAACTGGGAGTTGAGGCTTGAGCTGTATTCCCCCCACTGGTGCTTGTCTGCCTTACCTGGGAAGGACAGCTTTCCCTTCCAGCCCTGCTCAGCGTGGGTGGTGAGCACCCAGGAGCAGCAGGAGCGAGTTCCCCAGAGGTGCTGGCCTCGATGGACAGGCCAAAGCACAAAGGCCTCCTGCGCCGTCGGGGCTGCTGGTATTTTGGATCAAGACAGGAGGAGAAAAAATAAACAATTTTCCTCAGAGTTCTTTGACTTGGAGGGCACTACTGCACTAATGAAGAGAGCTAATTATGCAGTAATTTATGTAGAGATTACCAGCTGGGGCAGAAAGCAGTGCAGCTAACACGCATGAAGCCTGAATGCTGCAGGAGGTGCAGGGAGGGACCCGGGGGTAGCGGAGCTCAAACAGGGTGACACAGAGGTGACAGGCGACAGTGTGGTCATTTGAGCACAGGGGTCCTGCCTCCCCCCTGCCTCCCTGTGCTGCGGTGAAGCGCAGACATCCAGGAGAGAGGAGTGAAGCGTGCTAGCTGCCGCGGCCCTTTATGGCCTTCAGGACAGATGCCTCCCCGTGTTTCAGCTGTCAGTGTCTTCGTGGGGAGGTAATCCGAGAGAGAATGGCTTTTGGGGAGTGGGCGCTCACCCTTTCAAACAGAGACTCTGGCCCCGGGTGCCCAGAGCAGCTGTGGGTGCCCCCTCCCTGGAAGGGTTCAAGGCCAGGTTGGACGGGGCTGGGAGCCCCCTGGGCTGGGGGAAGGGGGCCCTGCCCGGGGCAGGGGAGTGGGACTGGGTGATCTTTAAGGTCCCTTCCAACACAAACCGTTCTGTGATTTTTGTGCACTCAGCAGAGTGCCCGGCCTGTTGTTCTGAGAGGGTAGGTAAAAAAGTGAGGAGTGATGGTGTACTGGGAATTGTGCAGAACCCTTGTGCTATGGTGAAGATGAGCAGTAATTGCTGTTTGTGTGGCTCTGACACCACGCAGTCATAGGATACTTGCATAGCCTTGTGGTACAATTTCTGTTATTATCAAAGAGTTTATCTCAAGGGCTATTCCTACCAAGGATCAACGATCCGGTTGCTGTGGATCGTGTGGTCTCATTTGCTTGGTGGTTTCTTGCATCTAGAGCTGAGTAACTGCTGTTCAGCTCTGTTCCTTCTGCCAGGTTGCAGTGCAGCCGTAGGAAAATGAGGCAGTGAGGTTCCCCTGTGCTTGCTGGTTGCCTCATCCCTGCCGTACTGTTGCCAAAGGGCCTTTCTGATAATCAGCCACGGGGGGTTCCTCATCTTTTATGGGGGCCTGCCTGATGGTTGGAGGGAGCATCCAGCAGCCTCCAAGGTCACCGCCTTTGTGCTGGGTCAGGTCCCGAGACTTGTCTGCAAACCTGCAGTCTCTGCCTCTGGGAGAAGCAGCTCTCTCTCTAACTGTCAAATATTCTTGAGTATGTTTCAGATCATAGACAAGCTTAAAATGAAGTTTCTGCTATCAAAGCCACAAGGTTAAATTATGATTGCAAAGGTAGAGAAACAGCTATAGGAAAAAAGAATAAGATAAGATGATGCAAGTTTAAAATAGACCCGTCATCAGCCTTTCTCTTCACCTGTTGTACAGGGGTTTGTTGAGGAGCTTAAGAATCCAGTTTAGTGTCCTCTCTCTGGACTGAGGGGTTTTATAACAACTCCTGGCGTTTAAAAGCAAGTCCCAAGAAACCCCACATCTCTGTGCTAATCAAGGGGATCTCTTGATGTGGTGTGCTGGTTTTTAAAAACTTGTTACCCAGGTAATGCTGAGGAAATACTTTTGAGATCGTTGACAGAAGATACCCCATGATGCTGACTCTTCTGTTCATTTTTTTTTGTCTGGAAGTCAACTGAATTACTGTTACAAATGCTACACCGTAATATTTTCCAAAGAATGTATCAAAAGCTTATCTCTTTTAGGTGATGTGCAGCAGTTTCTCTTGATCTATAGAATGTTATAGACTACATCTAACACATTAATTCACAATCTGTTCCAGAGACCATTGTGTTATGAAGAGTTAGGAAGGCATTGTGAGCCATGGTAACCTGAAAACATGTGTAACTGCTCTCCTTCTCCACTTTCTTGGATCAGGATGGTGCAATTAATTGGCCTTGTAAGTGCTTGAATTGAAGCGAGAGGTGCACGTCAGCCATTTTCTGGATAAATAGGGGTAGTATCTGGGCACTCTGGATATCATATATAAATGGCAAATATACAGAAAGTTTGGTAATTACTCTCACCTCCCTTTTTTCTTTCTTGCACTGTGTGCATTTTTGTTCTCTTGGGTGCTCTGGGAATAGCAGTTGTTTTCTCTGTGGCCATAGGAAATAAAATGGTCACAGGTGATACATTTTTAAATGCCCCCAAAAGATCCAGATCTTACTTGCAGGGCCTGCTAGCATAAGGTGTGGGGGATCCCGTTGCAAGGAACTGGGAGATGACAGCTGACATCACACGTGCATTTGCTGGCAGTGTATTTCATAGAAGAAGCCTCCAACTGTTTTGTAACCTTGAACTGTGCTGGCTAGTTTGCTTTGGACCCTAGTTCATTCTTTAGGTGTAATAAGAAGTGCTGGCTTTGTCTGTAGCTCTTCAGTAGTTTGTATCCTGGCTACCTGAAAGCCATCTTTTTCAGCCAGCAGTTGGTGAGGAGTTCAAGCTGATGGTTCTCTGGTTTAATGAGGACGTTCCTGATGTGATTCTCTGTTAAAATCTCCTTGACTCTGAATTCATTTAATCTTCAGAGCACATTTCAAGACTTCCTTTCTGTTTCTCTAAGCTTTCAGCAAGTGAAAACAAGGCTTAATGGGTTGGGAGAATTTTGCTGTGACAGTGAAGTACCTTCCTGTTTGCTGTGTCATTTAGAGTGAAACAGCTCTTGGTTTTTTGAACACGGGCCAGTCAGGACACCCCAGCTCTCAGAGTGCACTTGTGGTGTTGCTCTGGCCAGTTTCTTTCCCCGTCTGCATCTCGTTCTCATGGGTCTGTGATTTCTCTGTTGCTCTGGGGATGTCAGGAGTTACAGTAGGTAGCATGTTTCCAGGAAATGGTTCTACCAAAGCGCATCTTATGTCCGAGTCCACCATCAACAGTCCTTCTTACAAAGATGGATACCACCAATTCGCTGTTTTGTTTTCACAGCATATGGCTGCATGAAAGCCATTGTCTACACTGTCTCTCTTCTGGACATGGGTGAAAGAAGCTTTTGGAGGCTTCTTGAGGTGCTTTCTTCCTCCTGACCACGCCTGACTCTAGACAAACTTTCTGTGCTCTGCCCTTACGTGTTTCCACTGGGTTAACGCTATACGACGGTCATTCTGGCCTTTGCTTTTTCTGGGAGCCCTGCTCAACCTCACATGCCTGTTTCTTTCTTCCCACAGTGCTGAGTATTGGCGAAGGTGGCTTTTGGGAAGGAACCGTGAAGGGAAGGACTGGCTGGTTCCCAGCAGAATGTGTTGAGGAGGTGCAGATGCGACAGTATGATCCACGGCAAGGTAAGCTGTTTTCTTAGGCCTGAGTGTCTCTCAGCTGACACACTGGACAGCCCTGGAAATTCAGAAGTATTCATTCTAAATTTCTAGCGGTCTCTTGAGTCTGCCCATTCTTTGCAGTGGGCAATGGTTGCATGTGGAGAATTGTATCTCAAGGTGTTGGTTTGTGTTACTGAGTGCATTAGCATCCAGTAGTAGACACGCTGAGCCATGGTAAGTGTGTGGTGCTGTTGTGAGCAGAGCAACCATCCCTTCTGTGGAGATTGCTGAGGTGGCAGGGTCTTCTGCAGGTGACAGTGAGTGATGGAGCAAGAGAGATTGACTTGATCTCAGCCTCCAACCCCGCATTACATTTTAGGAGACTTGAAAAGAAAACTGATTTGCATGTGTTCATTCTAGTCCAACAGAAAATATTAAAAATGGCTGTGACTCAGCCCTGGCACTCCTGACCCTCCGTCTCCAGCACCAGCCACCACCTAACAGGAATTTGCTGCTCCTGGAGGACAGTGGTGTCAGGAGGAGCTCTGGATTGCATGAGTCAAACAGTACGGTGTTCTTGGGGGTCACCGTGACTTAATGGGTCTCCTGCTGTTGTGGAGTGTGTCACCACAATTTACCCCTTGTTGCTGAGAGCTGCCCGGGCAGCGTTCCTCTCCCAGCCTGGGGACTGGGTGGGAAACACTTCTACCAAGCCTGAAGTTGTCCCGATGTAAAGCAACTGAAGAGAACATCTGGAATTTTTTTTCCAATGTATTACTTAGGAGAGAAGTGGCCCTGATTTGACAGATTCAGCGAAGTTCACTGTGCATATTAAATGAGCTTTAAAATTCACACAGCTGCATTCGGGTAAGTGAGAGTTAAACCTTGATTGCAAAGTTGAGAACAAAGTTGTAGATGGGAAAAAAATCAATGAAATACAGTTCTCTATTTTGCACAACAGCTAGTTTTAATTCGTTTCTGGAAGCCTGAACCCACCTGTAAAGTCTTTTCTTTGCTCTAAGCCCAGTCCTTCCTGGGAGAGTTCTGATTGCGTATGTTTGCACCCTCGGGCATCTCCTTACCAGGCTGCTTGGATTCCCCGCGTGAGGCGCTGGCTCTGTGCGCGGGTGCTCTGGGGCTCTTGTCCCTGTGGATAAGTGTGGGGTGCCTTCGGGACCTGGTCTGTGGCCACGGGGGGTGCAGTGGGAGTGTGGAACCTCACCAGTATCACTACGAGCCCGCATGCTGCAGGGTCTAATCAGCAAAGCTTTTTTCCCCCCGCCTCTGGTTTGGTTCAGCTGTTAGCTCTCCAGCTTGTGTCCCCGGTGCTCATTTGTGTTCTCCCTTCACATCGTCTCTGTGCTTCCTCCTCCTGCGCTGGCCACCGCCACCTCTGCGCTCTCCTGCCCAGAGAAGACTCCTGTCTGAGCGCGGAGTTGTGAGCTCAGCTGGGCTCCGGGCCCCTTGGAAGTGAAGCAAATGTGTTTCTGTTGTGCTGACGGGAAATGCTTGATGACAGTGGAGATTTGAATAGTATATTCCTCCTTTTTCAGGGGTGATTAGGGCTGATGAGTTGGGACTTCCACAGGGAAGGTTCCACCTTCCTCCCTCTCCTGCTGCTTCGGAGCTGTACTCTGGAGTGTGTTTCAGTGTGCAGGGGCTGGTTGCCCTGTGCTTTTGTGGTGCTAAATAAAAGACAATAGGCTAATTGATGTGGTTATAAGCCCTTCCTACATCTAGGAGTTCATGTTTGCTGGGTGCTTTCTTGGAGAATGTTGCGTGTTTGGGTTAAATTGAAGTTGTGTAGTGAAATGTGAAAAACAGATGGTGCTTAGGCACTAAAGCTGGAGCAGAGGTATAAGCGTTTTCCTCCAGTTGTCCATACTATTCAGTTGTTGGCATGTTCCCCAGTCTGGTTTTGGCTTTTACTGACTTTTGTTTTTCCAGACAAAGCTTGGGCACAATTTTCAGGTACAGATTGTTTGCAGAAGGTAGTTTGGATAAGGCCATGATGTTTGTGCACAGTAAAATGTTTAGTTGTGTGGACATGATGTCGCTCTGCCACTTCTCATCAAATTCAAAGAAAGAGAAGTGTCTATCTACCGAGTTTAAGTATAGCCTTACAGCTGATTGGGCTGTGCACTGGTGGAAAGGTTTTGGCCTGACTATACTTTGCTGGGGAACAAAGCCACATCAGACTGGCAGACATCTCCAACTGTGTTTATCGACTGAGGAAAGTAGCAGGGTTGCATGGCAGATACCTGACTGGACTCTTGCTGGAACAGATTGAAGATGACTGTGACAAGGATGAAAGCAGCTCAGGAAATTCATTGTGATCTTCATTGAAATTCAGAGAGCAACTTGCAGGGTTGACATTTTGGAGATGGTATTAGGATGTTCCTTTAACCTGCATGTATTTTCATACTTTGAGGGAGAAGGCCATGAGCTGCATATTGATCTACCTAAATGAGCCAAGTTCTTCTCTAAGGGTGCCTCTGGGTCAGCACTTCCCTCCCACGTCCCAGTTCGTAGACGCTGCAGTGCCTGTTGACTCTGAAGGAAGATGTTCTGTTGGCCACCTCTGTTCCAGGCCCCAAGACAGAACCTTGCTCACTTCCCAGGGAGGGCCTCCTTGGGTATCTCCTGCCTGTAGAACTGAAATCCTTTGGGGTCTAAACAGTTCCTTTGGTAAATAACTCAAATTTTCTGTATGTTCTAAATTTTTTTCTTCTGGCCCTACCGAGTCAAAGATCTCTGCTTTTGCCTGTCTCCCCGCAGACATGAGTCGTCTTGTATCATTCTGACATCCCAAGAGAAGATTCAAGTTCTAGTTCTCAATCCCATCACTTTGTTACACACTTTTATTCCTGTCCGCACCTCCTCTAACACCATACCCTGTATTCTACTTAAAGTGGTGTGACATTTCTATTAGATTCAGGGCATTAATCTTTTTGTGACGTCCATGGGGTTGAAACAGGCCTTGTCCTCTCCTCTCCTCACCATGTCCCCAAGGCCATGTAGCTCAGGGTTTCGAGAGCACCAGGTCACTGAGCGTGAACTGCCTGATGTGCATCATCAAGGAGGGGAGGGAGGGGGCTCGTGCCCCCATAGCTTGTGCTAGAGCTGAAGCCCATTCCCTGGGGTGGTGCTGCCCCAGGCACACGCAAGTGGCCGTTCCCAGTGCTGGTGAGTCCCTGCTGTTCAGCTGCTGCAAGCATCCAGAGGAGCACTCGGTGATGGGACTCTACCCAAACATCTGGTCGCGCCGAAATCAGTGGCTCTAAACCGAGAAAGGAGGGGGGCTGATTTGGAGAGGCTGCTACCTGCATTGCTAGTTTTAGTACAAGAGGAGGAAAATCAGATAGACATTGACACATCTTTGCCTAAAGGAACATGAGAGGGGGTGGGTGGACAGGTGAAAGCAACAGCAAAGCCAGCAGACTGCTCTGAGAAGAGGCTGTCTCCTCTGCCGATGGAATTGATGGTGGCCAGTGAGATAAGGCTGAGGTATTTGCAATACGAACGAACGCCAGCTCACGAGTGCAGAGGGGAGGAAGCTGAGCCAAGTGATTTGGTCAGTCCAGCAGCTGTTGTGGGCAAGAACAGGCCAGAGCCACGTGTCTGTGCTGTAAGGAAAGGCAGAGGTAACGGTAGAGCTGAGGCTAGGAAGTGTGGGTGATGCATGGACTGTGCAGAAACAGAGGACAAAAACATACACCTTTACATTGCTTTGGAAAATGATGGTGTAAGGTATCCTGGTAATAAGGATAGAGTCTAGATTTTTATGTTTGATAAAGAAGAAGAATGTAGTGAAGTAAATGGAATCGACTTGTCTTCAGTGAGTTAAAATAGAGATGGAATTTTGAGTGAATATTTTAAGGCAAAGCTACAAAAACGTGCCCTAGCATGTATTCCTGGCAAAAGAGAAGTCTTGCAGGTAGGGAATCCAAATAGGATTGTCCCTAAGGCTCTAGGAATAAGCAACTTTCTCAAAGAACAAAGACTAGGATTCATCTGCAAAAAAAAATCTGTGTCAGGGGGATCTGAAATTATAAATGTATGATGCAGCTTGCCAAAAACTCAGTAGATCTAGACCTTCAGAATGTTAAGAGTAGTAATAGTAGATTATTCAGCTGTACAAATAAAAGAGTAAGGACAGAGGATGTAGAGCTGTTAAGCAACGAGAATGAGAGAAGATCAAAGCTAATTAGATAAAGGTCCAAGTCTACCAGGACAGTTCTCTGTCAAAATGGGCATGATGCCGGATGAATAGGCTGTGGCAGGACCAATACTGCCAGCTGGGGAAAACAATATTGGAGCCCCGTGGGCACTAATATAGCTTAATGTCCCTGACCAGCTTCACCTGGAGTCTCCTCCCACACCACAGGCCCAGGAGTTCTGTTTAGGTTGTGGATTTCAGTCCCTGCCCGAACTATGTTGGAGAAGTCCTGGTCTCCAGTTCAGACGCAGTCATGCCTGAGGCTGCCCATGGACCCTTGTGATCCAGACCCCGACTCATGGGCTGACTTCCCGGCTTGACCTCCGAGCTGCCTCGGCACTGTGGACCTGGCCCCAACCCCGACTCGCAGATTGGCTTCCTGGTATGTCTGGAGACCTCATCGCCGTGCTCCTGCCTTACGGGCTGGGCTCCTGGTTGGACCTGGCCACCATCTCTGGCTCTGTCCTGCTGGCCTTGCTTGAGTCGTGGCCAGCAAGGCCCCTGGCCTGCCAGCCACAGCGGCTCCTGGCCCCCCGCCCACCCCAGCACACAGATGACACCAGCATTCTGAAAAAACAGGAAAATTTACTGGCACATCAGCGAAGATTTCAATGAGGCGATGGTCAAGCTGGTGTGTAGGGGCGCTCTGGGAAGCCCCAGTTAAGGTGCTCTGGAGTCCACTGGTGCAAACATGTTTAAAACACATTTTGAAGGGAGAGACACATGAGGGAAGATGGGGAAAAGGGTAGAACAGAACAGTCTTTATCCGGGAACATTTTTGTGCTAAAGGATATGGATTAACTGT